TTTCTTTTTCCTCCTTTGTCTTCCTCTAATCTAGTCATTATAGTTAAAATCTTTTTATATTTTCAGTTGTATATGAACACTTTTGTTTCTGTTTTTTATGCCTTCCTTTGTCTATGTGGTCAGCTTCTCAATCATTTTAGGAATGTAGAATGTTAACATATTCTTCTTTCTCAACCTCTATCTTTTCTGCCATCTTCATTTTTTTTTCTTTTTCTTCCTTTGTCATGCTTTGATCCAGTCATTATAATTAATTTTTATTCCTTCAACTACTTTCTCCATGAAAGGAAGAAAGACAATGTAAGGAAATAAAATATATCATTACTTCTCCTTTTTTGGTTTAAGTCACCTGGTGATTAGACAAATCAACATCCTACTTTTACAAATCATTACTTAGAATATGTGTTACAACTAATATGATAGATATAATATTGCAGCAATATTTGTGCCTTTGTATAATGTAAACAAATTTATGCTACTATATTGTACATATTTATTTACACACATATATATATATAAATTACTTTTCCTTTTATACTTTTCCTCTGAATTTTTTCCTTCTTTAATTTATAGGTTTATTTACGTATTTATTTATATACATTTTTCCACTATTTTTAATTTCCTTTCTTTTCCTCCTATAAAATATATATGACCAAGTTTTATTGAAGACTTTTAATTTATTTGTTCATCTATAGAGAAGAAAACAACTATAGGACATGAAAATTTATATTTATTTATTCATTTCTATATGAATTTTATTTGTATATAAAAATTGTGTCCAAATCCCGCTATTAATATATCATCACTCTCTTTATTCTTGCTCTACCCACCTTTTCTCACTTAAGTCTATTGACAATCTCTTTGTTCTCTTCTTTTACTTATTTCAATGTCATTTCCTTCCCTATTTCCTACTATAATTTAAATTTATTAACAATCTATTTGTTTTCCTCTTTGTTTATTCCAATACCTCTACCTTTTTTTGTATTGTCGTCTCATTCAGAAATCATTCGCACTTGGTTCACTTCCATTTTTTTCCCAGTGATGTTGCCTTGACAACCCACTTTGCAATTTTATTCTGTTTATTCGTTTTAACTGTGCTTTGTTACAAAATATGCATTGCAAGCTATATTATTTTACTAACGTTAGTCCTTTCTTCCTCTTTTAGACTATCTAAACAGTAATCTTTTTGCAATACTGCAGTTTAGACTCTTTTGTACTTAGCTTCTTATCTACTTTATTTGCTCTTCACTTCCCTACTTTCCTTAATTTGCTACGGCATTAGATTATACTGACCACCTATCTCTTTATTTCCTCATTGTTTCCGGTTCTTTCACTTGCTATATAAATTGATTTATTTATCTTACGTTGATGAAGATATTTCATATCTAAGCCACCATTATTGTACAAGGATCATATTTATTCACATATTATCAACTTTACTAACTACTTTTCATACTTTATGTTTCGCATTTATTTGCTTGCTAATTCATTCACATTTTGATACATGTCATGTTCCTACTCTTCATTTTATTTATAAACTTTGTGCAGCGACGTCTTATTACAGATGATTTTTAATTTCTTTGCTCATTTACGATGAAAGAAGCTCAAAATACGCAGATGCATATGCTAATTCATTCACTAATGTAGCTTTCGTTGATAAATTTAATTTATTCACATTTGTATCTTATTATTTAATTTTCTACATAATTTTATATAGCAGTGTAAATTTTAAACTTTTGTTGTCACATAAATTTTTAATATTATTTAGTTCATTATAGACGTATAAAGATGCATATATGAATATTATTCAGTTTGTCTCAAACATAAAAAAATGCACATATCAATTTATTGCACAGTTTTTTTAAGTCATGTGCTTTTCACATGTTTTTGCTTGGCTGCTACTCCCTTAAGGCAGTGTTTTAATAGTGTTGATAGCATTGCAGGTACGGTTAATAACTATTGTCTAGATTTTATTAAATGTCTGCTATTGATATTGGATCCTGTGATCATCTTCTTCTAATTTTTTTCCAAATTTATGTTTTGCAACTAAAAAAAAAGGAGAGGAAAAGAAAAAAGAAGACCTGAAACCCAAATGCATTATAAATAACATCTTATAATAACATCATGAAGACATGTTCATGTATAGATATGTATATATAAATTAATATTCTTCTATAAAAATTATTAGCTCTTTACATAATATAAAATTCTTACCGCTGCAACACGCGGGGATAAGGCTAGTATTTACATAATTAAAGCTATGTATTTCCTTTTTTTTAGGGGAAAACTAAGTATTTTCAAAGGAAAATTAGAGGGCTATTGTTGCATACACGTGAGATTGGTTGAACACTCACGATCTCTTAATCCATGACCATAGTTGTTGCAAATCATGATATGGAGTTGGAGGAGCGACTTTCATTCACATCCCAATTTTGCAATTTCTTTGTTTATTCAATTTCTTTTTAATAGTGGGGTGTGTAATGAGTATTTTTTTAAAAATATTATTGTCTTTAAAAATAATTTTATTAATAGATAATTTATTAATATTAAAAGAAATGTATAAAAAAAAATGTCAATGTACCCTAACTTGTCTAAGGGTCTGTTTAGTTCGCTAATTTGAGTTTTTAATTCGAGTTGAGATGTGATTTTATGTGAGAATTTTTTACTGTAGTAAAAAAATTGTGACTTTTTGTAAAACTTTTTACTGTAGTAAAATTTAAATTCTAAATTCGAATCGGTGAAATGAACGGGACTTAACCCTTTAATAATTACACATGAGTATAAGTAACATTCCACCCTCTGCAATTACGGTTGTTCATTAGAGGTAGTTGATTGTTTTCGTCCATTCAGTCACCGATCGACACTATTGATTTCATATATTGAAATTGAGGATCGATGGAGAGGAAGGGAGGACTGATTGATTAAGATCAAAATTGGCCAAAGAAAATGACGTCAACGGTGAGACTCGGTTCTCCTTCAGCCATTATAATTTTTTATCATGATCAAAAAGAAACTATAAGAGAAAAATGCACACATTTAAAGAGTCGTTTAGTTCGTTGATTTGAGTTTTTAATTCAAATTGAGATGTAACTTTATGTGAGTTTTTTACCGTATTAAAAAAGTTAGATGTGACTGTTTTTAAAGCTTTTTACTGTAATAAAACTCGAATTTTAAACTCGAATCGGTGAAATGAACGAGACCTACAATTGTGTTTTTCTCTACCTCTCTAATTCACCTAGAAAACAGCGCCCCCTTTTTATAATGAACAGATCTGTAAATTTTTTTGTGTAAGATTATAAATCGTGAAGGTAATTCTCTATCTTCTCATTTGAGTTGAAATGTGACTTTTTGTGAGAATTTTTTACTGTAGTAAAAATGTTATATGTGACTGTTTTGAGAGCTTTTTACTATAACAAAACTCGAATTCTAAATTCGAATCGGTGAAATGAACGAGACCTATAAATCATGAAGGTAATTCTCTATCTTCTTATCAACGGACTTCTAATGTTCAGACTCACTAATCACAATGAACAAGTCGTGATTTATCCGTAGTTGTGCAAAAATAGGTTCAATCTTATGCTCTTTATACTTTTACTTTACATAATCTTTTTTCTTTTGAAATGGATATATGGTCATTTTCTATTTTCATTTTCTATTTTCATTTTCAGGACCTTTGTAAAATTTTCACGGTTATTAGAGTTCTTTCGATCTTAAAATAAGTAAAAGTTACAAACTTATTTTGGTATTTTTTATTATAGTGAAACATTCTCTTAGTATCTTATATTTTTTAATAATACATTGATATTTTTTAAAATATATTCTTGATATCCTAAAACTAATTTTTAGGACATACAAGTGCGTTTGGAACTCGTTCTAAAATGATTTTATTTTTTGTATGAAATTAGAAATGAAAACGTTTTCAATCTCAGACAGAAATCATTTTTGAAAATGCGTTTGGTAGTTTTATCAAAAGATTATTTTCAGTATAAAAAATTTCATTAATGTCCCTCTCTCTTTGCTCGAGAGAGGAGAAAATGGAAACAAAAAATGAAAAATGACTAAAAGTCGTTTTTCATTTCTTTCTCATTTTATACTAAAAATCATTTTCATTTCCGTTTTTTGTCTTCAATTGTGTCAAATGTCGTTTCTGTCTTGTTTTCATTTTTTCTTTCTCGAAAAATATGAAAAACAAAAACAAAAACAACTCCAAAGTTCCAAACACAACCACAATTTTCAAACTACCATTCTTATCAATTAAATATAAATTAGTAATTTTTTAGAAAAATCTAAAAATATTTTTAAACATTAAAATATGTAAAAAAACAACAAAATAAAAGACATGATTTTTTTCTATATGTATTAGTTTTTGATTAATTAAATAGAAAGGTATTAACCTCATTTGACATCTCAAATATTAACTTTAAGATATCAAAAAAATATTTTTAAAATTATCATTTATCACTTTAATATTATAAAAAAAACAGATTATTAAAGCCATATTTTATTATAACATAAAGTACTAAAATGATTTTATTCCTAAACAAAATGTTACATCATAAATGTGCTGCGGAAATGAAAACTTAATTAGAAGGGCCTCATCACTTCCACAGTTCCACTCAAAGACAACAATAGTCTGTCACTCTTAGTAGAATTGAGAGACTTTAGCCTCATTCGAGTTTTTAATTTAAATTAAAATATAATTTTATGTGAAAAATTTTTATTATAGAAGAAAAAATTAATAATAATTTATTATGAGAGTTTTTAATTATAATAAAATTAAAATTAAAAATTGAAATTAATAAAATAAACAAGAACTTTTATAACACAGAATCGTAATCTCATAAGTCCACGTGTCAATCGCCACAAGACCCCTCTCTGCAACAATATCCAATTGTCAAGTTCAAAACTCATTGAAGACACGTGTCGAGTTCCAGTTGGTCGAAGCCATATCCCGGCTTATCCAAGTAGAAAAATGGCAGATAAGGCAAGAGCCCAAAATCACTCTACATCACAAAACACGTAGCCACCAAAAAAATATATTTTCCACATTTCTCACTTGGCAACCAATCAGAGAGAGAGAGAAAGAAAGAAAAGGAATTAGGAGGAGGCTGGGGAAATGGCACACGCTATGGCTTCAATGGCGGGTCTACATGGCTCTTCGCAGGCAGTTTTGGAAGGCAGCCTCCAGCTAAGCGGTTCGACCCGCTTGAACGTCGCGGGCGGAATCCGAGTTTCGGTCAACAGGCCCGGGTTCACTGTCAGGGCCCAACAAGGGTCCACTGAGCCCGAGACCACCGGCCGTCGGGCTATGCTGGGCCTTGTCGCCGCAGGATTGGCTGCTGGGTCCTTCGCTCAGGTTGTGCTTGCCGAGGCCAAGTCCATCAAAGTCGGGCCACCTCCCCCTCCCTCCGGTGGATTACGTAAGTTGATCATCCATCCTTCTGTGGCATTCTATGGAACTAATTAAGCAAAAGTTTTGTTGAATTAGCAAATATGAACAAATTAACTTATTTCTTTTATCCTAAACAATATATATATATATATATATATATATTTCTTTTATATGAGATTGTGAATGTGGGCTGAACTTTGACAAATTCTCATATGATCTCATAAATTCCTAGTAATAAACTCAGGTGTACTTTTTTTTTCAAATAAATATTTAATAAATTATTCAAGTCAATTCATGATGAGTAAATGAGTACTTTTAGGACCCGTTTAATTTGTTAATTTGAGTTTTTAATTCGTGTTGAAATGTGATTTTACGTGAGAATTTTTTACTGTAGTAAAAAAGTTAAATGTGACTGTTTCTAAGAGTTTTTTACTGTAATAAAATTCGAATTCTAAATTCGAACCTTATTCATCCCGTTACATATATAGTGGGTCACATTAGGTAGGTAAGTGGGACCCATCTTTTGTGAGTGATGGGATGTATTCTATGGGGATGGATACCATTTTTCATTCATGATTTACATTGTTCTTGATTTGGTATGTTGTAATTCGAATCATATTATCTATTGAACTTTTGTTTTGTTACCTCATTTTCTGAATCACATGTATACATGTAACAATACAGTGTTTAAATGGGTGTCATAAAATTCTAAGAAGTCACGAGTATGATAAAATTATAAATTTAACTTAAAGAATTTTAGGTAATGGTACATAAGTGTAATAGTTGCAACATGATTAGTTTAATGAGGTCCAACTTGAGTCACAGTTGAGGAGTTTAATGACAACAAAAATTTGTGTTGGGCAGCTGGAACCTTGAACTCTGACGAGCCGAGAGACCTTAACCTGCCGCTGAAGGAGAGGTTCTTCCTGCAGCCACTGACCCCGGCTGAGGCAGCGCAGAGGGCGAAGGAATCAGCCAAGGACATTGTTGGTGTAAAGGAATTGATTGACAAGAAGGCTTGGCCCTATGTCCAGAACGATCTGAGACTCAAGGCCGAGTACCTTCGCTACGATCTCAACACTGTCATCTCTTCCAAGCCCAAAGATGAGAAGAAGTCCCTCAAGGAACTTACCGGAAAGCTCTTCCAAGACATCAGCAATGTAAGATTATTCACAAACGTTTTTCAGTCACTGATCACAAATCAAAATACATTTTGCTTTGCTTTTCTTTTCTTTTGTAAATATTATTGCTATCTTATTCTTTTTTCCTTTTTGGTTTTGTCCATTTAACAGCTGGATCATGCTGCAAAGATCAAGAGCAGCCCTGAAGCAGAGAAGTACTACGCCGAGGCTGTATCTACCCTCAATTCTGTTCTTTCCAAGCTTGGTTAAGAGGAGTTAAATGTATGTTAATGTAATCTTGTGTATGACATTTTGTTAATTTGTATGTTGTTTAAAAGGGAATCTAGTCGGAAATGACTCTTTCTGTATGTTTCAGTTTGTGATTTCTTCCTCTAATTCGCGTGCCAGAACTAGACCTTGAACCTTGATTAAGCTCCAATTTTTAGGATTCAATTAGTACATTACAATAATTAGTATATTAAACGTTGACATATGACATAAGATGTGTTTAGTTATTTACTAAGATCACAAAGAGAATGCTTCCATCTAAGAGCATAAAGTTTATTTTTCATCCATTATTGACACAAGTTGATCATATTTATTTGTAAAGAGAATAGAGTGATAGGTTCCTGATCAACTTTAGTAGCTTTCTTTTAACTGTCAATATTGCCAAAATCTGTAAGAAAAGACCCCATTCACAAGCTTCTTCAAAGTGGCTAAGCCAGTATTTATGATTTTGAAGTGCCTTTTAAGAAATCTCACATTAATGGGAATCTTAAAATTACAATTCTTATATCAAACATAATAATCTTTCAGATTTCAGATTCCTATTTCCACCCCAAGATTACTGCATACCATAGGTCACATATGAAGGGCAGTCAATTCACCTATTTCTGCTCTTTATTAATTTGGAGTGTCTCATTTATAGATTGCACTTGATTTTAATGAATTGGCGCTTTGGGGGAGGGGAAAAAAAGAAAGGAAAAGATGGTGCTGTTTGTAATCATAGTTGTGGTAGCAGCTCATTTTTTAAAAACAGAAATCAAACGACAGCAATTAGTAAGACACATTTTCATTAAGAATACAGTAACGAAAAAACGACACCAATGCGAAAAAGCGACAAGATATAATGATACTACAAATATACATTGAAAGTAGCATAGAACTTCATTAATGAAACCAGCAAACGACAGAAACTCAAAAACGGTAACAACAAAAAATGACGCAAGAACTTTTGAAATGACGAGGAAAAATTGACAGAATGAGATATAAAATCCTAACAAGTAAAGCCAACAGTACTAACAGCTAGCACTGAAAACGGCAATAATATGTCTGCAAAACCACGTATGACATGAAAACGACGTCCACAAGTAAAAGACATAATTGAAGGAAAAAGGAAAAGCCCACAAAGATTTTAAGAACGACATCAAGAAAAACAACTTTAGAACGACAGCAATCACAAAACGACATGAAATATAAAAAACGAGAAATGACCGAATAACTATACAACATCTTTTAGAAAACAACTACGGGTAGGAAGGGCGAAATGTAAAAGTAAAACATAATATTAAGGCCTGTTTATTTTCAGGACTCGAGGCATATTATTATAGTATTTTTTTTATAAAAATTTAAATTTAATTTTATTAGTAAAATATTTTTCTCTCGTAACTAAAAAAAACGATTAACTAGATTATGAAAAGTCATATTAAAAGGACAGCAATCAAAGAAGATAATATCTGAAAACGACGTACAACGAAAAAACGACAGCTGCAAGTAAACGACATAAAATATAAAATGACAACAAAATTGAGCATACCCGACGAGAGAGATTTACAAAACGACTACGAAAAAAACACACCTTTTTAGAACCACGGAAATATATATATATATATATATATATATATATAATCACAGAGACAGAGAAAACAACACTTGCATGAAATTTCTTTCTTTCTTTTTAATAATAAAAAGCGCTAAAACACAGCAATTCAAAATATCCGAGCGACGACAAAATTGAAACAACAACAACAAATGCTGCAGAAACTTTAAAAACTACAACGCCCTGAATAATTAAGGACACGAGTAACATAAACTACAACAACTGAGAAGTTCCATAAAACAAGTAAATGAGAAAGAAAAAAGATGACACATTTGAGGAAATGACAGTATATACATATGAATGCCAATGTGTTAAATTTTAATGTATAACTTAATCACCTGTGACTATTTCGGAAATTTAGTTTCTTGGTTCAACGAACTTCTTAAAACGCTTTTAATTTAGTCCTATTTAGAGATAACCAAATTCAACATGAAGCAGCAAGAAACAAAATCACTTCTTTTGTTTTCCCAATAAAAGATGGACCAAAGCGGCCGTAAAATATAGTACAGGTTTATATGCACATTCTCAGAAAAGTGCAAACATAAATCTCAAACATCCCTCAACAAAGAAAACACGAATCGTGCTGACAGATATGATTACGTAAGAGGTGTTTAGCAAACAAGAATCTAAAAAGAAAAGAACAAAATAGATATATAATTATAATGCTAAAATATTATCCAATCTTTAACCTTGGCTGTCTTCTGGTCTCATTCCTCTCAAAGCCACGAGACTTGGTTGATAGTAACATCCATTTTGGTTCACCTCTTTCGGAAGTATTTGTTCCTTGATTCTTCCCGTTTCCACGTCGCAACAAATTTCGACATTATCGTTGAATTGAAGCCACATATCATCAGCTCTCCCATAAATAATTCTACAATCATTAAAATTGTAGCCAATCTCTTGCAAGAATCTCCAAGGAAAAATGATTTTGGTATCGCTCCATCTATAGTTGTCCTCGTATTTTTTCAGTACAAAGATGTGAAGTTCTTCATCTCTTACATCAGCAAGAGATTGACAATCATCCCACATGATTGAGAAAATACCTCTGGACGAGACTGAGCGGAAACGTTGAGGCAGAGCATTAACTTGAAAAGTCTCCCTACATATATCCACAGAAACAACCTTTACATCCCAATGTGGTCGGTGGTTACCATACTGAATTCGGTCAACGAAATGAATGCCGCAAGTTGTATTATGATCGAGAAAGGAAAACTGAGGAAAAATGATAATGCTTCATTAACTTGATAATTACATAAAAGCTATATATAGCTGGAAAAACGGAGATGCTTCTCTAAATCTGGAAAAGACAAGAGAAACTAAATAACACTAGCATAATAAAACAACTTTCCAGCTCAGCATATTTAGTTACAACCAAATAACAAGCTTAATACGCCCCCTCAAGAGGGACCATGAATGTCCTTGATGGCCATCTTGCATAAAGAGGAATGAAGCAACGGCCAAGACAAGGCTTTAGTAAAAGGGTCTGCAAGGTGATGCTGAGATCGAATTGGCATGAGCTTCATCAATCTTTTAGAAACCATATCACGAACAAAGTGACAATCCACTTCAATATGCTTAGTCTGCTCATGGAAAATAGGATTGGAGGCAATATGAATCGCAGTCTGATTATTACAAAAAACTACGGTAGGAGAAGCCAAACTAAGACAAAAATCCGACAATAACTGTCGTAACCAGATTAATTTACTTACAGCCTTAGCAGATGATCGAGAAACTGTAGTTTGCTTTTTAGACTTCCAAGAAACCAGAGAATCACCCACAAAAACACAAAAACCTGTCACAGACTTTCGAGAATCTGGACAAGAACCCTAGTCTGCATCAGAAAAGGCCTTCAACTGAATCGGAGAAGCAGCAGAATAAAAAAGACATTGACCTGGACTTGCTTTAATGTAACGAAGCAAATGATGAACTGCCTGCAGATGGGGTACTCGGGGCTTAGCCAAAAATTGACTCAACTTGTGCACAACAAAGGTAATGTCTGGCCGAGTAATGGTGAGGTAAAGAAGCCGCCCAATCAGCCTTCTATATTGAGAAGCATCAGACAAAAGAATCCCTTCTTCGGCAGCTAATGGCACCTTGGCATCCATCGGCACAGTTGATGTTTTACAAGCAAGAAACCCCGAATCTTCAAGTAACTGCAGGGCATAATGTCTCTGGGAAAGCACAATTCCAGCATCAGACCTGGCTATCTCAATCCCAAGAAAGAACTTCAGAGGACCTAAATCTTTGAGCTTGAATTGACTATGAAGAAACCGTTTTAAACGATCAACAACCTCCAAGTTCGGCCCAGTGATGATGATATCATCAACATAAATGAGCAAAGCAATAAAGGAATCACCTGCACCCATAACAAACAAAGAGTAATCGGATTTGGATTGTACAAATCCGAACTGAATCAAGGCATAAGCAAACTTTGAATTCCATTGCCGCGAAGCTTGCTTCAGACCATATATGGACTTGTTGAGTTTACAAACTAACCTGGTACCCGTGGAAGCTTTCACCCCTTGAACACATAGCCAAGAGGAAGGTCCATGTAAACTTCCTCAAACAAGTCACCATTAAGGAAAGTATTATTGACATCCATTTGAAACAAGTGCCATTTCTAACTCGCAGCTAAAGCCAAGAGGACTTTAACTGTGACCAACTTAGCCACAGGGGAAAAACTCTAAAAAAAATCAACACCCTCCTGTTGTGTAAAACCTTTGGCCACTAAACGAGCCTTAAATCTGTCAACCGACCCATCTGGTTTATGCTTAATCTTATACACCCATTTACAACCAATGGAATTTTTTCCTTTAGGCAAAGGGACAATCTACAAAGTATGATTGGCTTCCATAGCCATTAACTCATCTCTCATGGCATCCCTCCAATCAGCATGCTTAACTGCCTGATGATAAAAACGTAGCTCTATAGAAGAAGAAACATTCATAACAAACTTCCTATAAGAAGGAGAAAGCTTGCTATAATCTAGTACCTTGGACAAAGGGTAAAGAACCGTGGATGTAGAATCAAACACCAAATGATTACAATGAAAATCTCAAAGGTAAGAAGGAGGCCGAACAGGCTTACTAGACCGCCTGACAGATGAATCAAGCACCCCTGAAACCATTGGGGACTGAGGAATTTCAGGAGAACCAAGATCAGGAAAACCAGGAACAACCTCATGATGATGACCAATTATGGGATTGGGTAAAACAAAATTAGGAAAATGATCAATGATTGTTTCATTAGACCCTATAGAATGAAAAGGAAAAATCTCCTAATGGAAAACCACATCCCGAGAAATAAGAATTTCTTGAGACTGTAAATCCAGCAACCTATATCCTTTAACACCAGGCGGGTAACCTAGAAAAATACGTGCTCGTGCTCTAGGCTGAAATTTTGTTCGATGAGCCACAAGTGTAGATGCAAAAACTAAACACCCAAAAACTCAAAAATGAGAATAATTAACCACATTGGCAAATAACAACTCATAAGGTGTTTTATTAAGCAACAAGGGTGAAGGAGTTCTATTAATCAGAAAGGTGG